TGCCTGTGGTGGTGACGGCCCAGTAAAACTCTAAAGAAATGGAAATTATGTTGGGACCCTTGCAACCAGTAAAGAGGGGCTACACAAGTATCCAATTAAGCAAATAAGATGTAAATCTACAGCGATCACTGTGGTAGATCATATCGATGAAAAGCAATCTATGTGAAGTACATCTTAAACATCTAGGTTGTTGAAAGAGAGCGACAGATAGGAGGAGAAAGTTTGCACTGCAGGTTTTCCTTGAGGACGGGTAGAACAAGCTAATTTAAAACGCTTATGAAGTTATGTGTGTAGATGCTCCTAAACTTTTTCAACGATCACAAGAGAATTCTCTTACCTCTTCATAGGAACGAAGTCCTCCCACCATAAACTTGCGACGATTTTCCCTAAATATGACCCAAAATTGAAAGAAAACAGAATTCAGACTTTCGATTTGGCCAAAAGGTGACAAATTCATGACAAAGAGGAAATTCCGAGTTTCTGTCGACGACCGTATTCCGAACAGCCGATTGATTGAACAGGTGTGGGAAACACCGTCAATATCATTGGTGCAAAGTCTCCCTCGCCCACCAGACTTCCAATTCCACGGGATTTCCGAGTACTCTAACTATCGGAAAAGAAAAAAGCATTGGTAGTTACGGAGGAACCAGCACGGTTACGAGCATTCCCTCCTAAACACGTTCTTTTTTTTGCAAAAAAAAAAAACAATCCAGGGTTAAGCCTGTGTTCATGCTTAAATAGCCTAAGGAAGACTCAAATATCTTAAAAATATGTGAAATACGGCGTTCGAACGCTTACTGATCGGAATCCAATTCCTAAGTATCGAAACTGTTCAGAGTTCTAAGGCTAAGAACTAAGTCTCTTCTCAAGATCTTTTGATCATTGTCACTTACCAATTTGAGCGATTTATTGATTTTTCCAAAGCTTATTCGAGAATGCATCCTTACTCAGTTTCAGCCAGGTTATGGCTCTGATTCTTTTAGGACCAAATGAAGGAAAAAAAGAAGTTCAAAGAAAACTGAGAGTACAGCCAAAAAAGGAGAAAATAAACAACGTATCGATTGAGTGATGGAAAAAATTGTGGACGATCCATAGGGAATCTTATTTAGGAAAATTCGGGTACTTAGCTGAAAACGCTATAGAATTCCATACTACGGATCCTAGAGACATCCGTTCGAAGTCCCTAGGTCCTTAATGTTAAGAGCTCTAAAGCTCTCGGCGTTGATCGATCGACGGTGATTTAGCCCAGTAAATCCTTCACCTAGGTGCTTAGCACCTTTTAGCAGTATTCCCGTCCTGAGGTTTCTAACATAATATATAATCCAGTCAATCAACAGTCTATAAGAAATACTATTCTAATTAGTTAACTTTCGTTTCATCGAACTCGACCTAGTCGACCCGGACCATCGGCTCTGAGGATGACGAGGCCATCGGAACGTTAGCCAAACAACGTTGTTTGTCAATCGTGTTAGCATGTCAATAAAAGAATACATATTGACTGGTCAACTTTCCTTTCATCCAAACTAACTGCTTTCTACCGATGTTACGGCCATTATCTTCTCTGTTTATAAAAACTTAGGCCGCCAGATATCAGAACTACTAGAGGAAGGTGCTATTCGAATGACAGACCTACGATACATCGTAACAAACCAATTGATGAGGTTTATTTACATAGAGAGAACACAAAAACCAGTGTCATCTCGAAATCAAAGGGCTACACTAATGTTATGGAGGCAGGTCCCGTGCAGAATAGCGAAACTCCGCCCAGCTTCCTAGCGAGATGGCGAATGCGGCATGTTTACAATGGCGCTTCGGATGGCAGTGTGGCTTGATTCTACCGGCGTTTCGACGCGTACTGTGGGAGCATGCTGACTTTGTCTTGAGAAGATCCTTGTACCTGGTCCGAGCTTCTGACGAGGACCTCGTTGGCGCCTAGATTCCTCCTGTTCCATTGATTTTGCACTTAGCAACGCACGGTGACATTGTAGACCCTTATTGTAAACAACATCGGCACTGGTGTGCAATTATCATGTAATCCTGAGGTCCACTGAAGAGTATCATCACCTCTTCCATGAGCTGTTCCTCGTGGTTTGCGAATTTTCTTGCGTTTCCGAACTGAACCTGGGTGTAAATCCACAAAGTCAAGGTCACCAGCGCTACTTTTTACTGTTTCCTGTGTGGCCACCGTCATTATAATACGGCCAAGAGTACTGGGATCACCGCAATATGTTTTTGATTATCCTGCCCACTAATGTCGCCCATGATTGCAAGGCTAGTCAGCGCCGTCGGTACGAGTCTATTTTAGCCCGCGTATCCGATTCCAGTGTTGCCGTCTGGTATAGTTCAAGACTGGTTTGATCGGTCCCCTCATCGGTCCCCTCATTGGTCGTCAGTATTGGTAGACAAGGATCTAATTCAGGATGTTGTCCAGTCTGATTTCTCAACACTTTTTCTTCTGATTTTTTCCAATATCTCATATTATGAAGTTAGTAGCGGTAAAGTATTAACTAGTAGATGTCGTAAAACTGGAAGCAGCTCTTGATTTTACGAAACTTACGTACTTTTCACTAGCAAAAGGCCGGCGTTAGCTATTGCGAAATGTTATCATTCCGTATATTGATCAATACTCATGTTTAAACAATAACAGATTCTCACATTTATATGTCATTCTATTAATTTTGCCTATAGACTTTGCTGTAACTCTTGTTACTTCTCGAAGTTTTAAATCTGTGGGTTCAAAGGTCATTTTAAGTCGGCGTGCTCTACATCGGAACAGCGACTATGGGGATTTCGACGCAAATTCTTGTGGTAATCATGACTGTCGCACCCATATTATCCCGTAGAGGTATGTCGAAATTTCTATACAGATTTTACTGTCGTATTACAATTGTTTCTGTACGGCTGAAAGACAGGCGATACGAAGGACTCGCTTAGTGTGGTAGTGTACGCGTTAGACCCCGGAAAGGGTAGCGTGCTCCGTCCCCACCGCATACACCAGCGGTCAGGAGTTTTGCAAATATCTCAGCATCATTACAATTGTTTCTATTTACCATTTGTCTTTAAACGTTATTCTCAAATAGTAACCCCTGTTGTGGGTTTCTTCTGTGCTGTTGATTTAGTGTAGTTTCATGGTTAGATTAGTCAACCTATATAATTTCTTCTCCCTTTAACAGCCACAAGTGCAAAGCATAAGTGCAATAGTGATCACCAGGAATCGGTATGATGTATATTTCTGTGTTAAATCTTGTATAGTTTGTAATATTTTAAACCAAATGAGGTCTTACAAGGAGGTGTTCTGAACCAGCACTGGTTGATGTCTTCGATTTCCAGTGTAAATCAGAAAACTGTCGTGTAATATCACGTTATCTCTGGTATGGGATCTTGTCCAGAGGACGCTCTTTCTATAAACCAGATGTGGGGTACTAATAGCTGTTTATGGAAACTTCCCAAACGTTTACCGCCTCATTGTGGCTGGAAGATGTTCCTGGATGTCGGGCTGCGATGTACAACGGAGGAATTCATTCCCCCGGTAGTGTCTTCCAAGCTGAGGAGTCCGGTGTTTCCATCAGGAAGCCTAGCTAAGAGTGAACCAATACTAGGGTCTCGCATGATGGCAAATCTCCCTCTGATCCACAAGGGCTGCGACTGCTTGTTGTGACGACCTGGGGCAGACTTTGGCCTGGTTAACCTCGGAATTCCAGGGAACCAGAGTGGTTTAACCAGTAAATCTCCGAAAAATGGAGATTATGCTGGGGTTCGCACAACCAGTGAGCACAGGCCGTTCAAGTACCAAGTAAGCAAGTAAGTTTATGGAAGGAGGACTCTCTGGACAGTACACCATGCCAGAAATATATGATTTTTCCATCCGCGCTTTGTAATTTTCCGACTTTATCTTGTAATGTCTTTTCTGTAGCTTATCATCTATGTTTTCATGAATAGTGCTATACGATAACCTCCCAGGAACCGAACAGAAAACGTTGGTTCTCTCACAAAAAAAACAAGCACGAAATAGGTGGTCTTTGCAAGACATTCTTGTTTTACGTGATACTGTACAGTTTCTTAGAACTCTACGCTTCTCGGTTGCATTGAAGGTCATTTTCGGCCTTTATTTATATTTGTGCTTAAATACTGCATTTATTTTAACATAAAGTATATTACAGTGTCTAAGAAATGTGCGTCTTTGAAGAGTACATTCGTTATCCTCGTAAAGATTAAGAATTGGGGCCATATCGAACCACGGTTACCCTTTCTTGGGCTCATGTATTACACAGTGCACCACAGAGACCTTTGCTTTGCGTTTCATTCAGCTAGTTTTATACAGAAAATTAGAAGACAGAAAAAAAGGACCTCCGTGGTGCAGTATGTAATACGCGAGCCCCTGGAAAGGGTAATCCTGGTTTGATTTGGCCTTGGGTTCAAGTTTGGCAAATATCTCAGCATAGTTGTGGTTGTATTTCACAGCATACCCTGCCGTGAAAAATTATTCTAGGTGGCAGATAAAAGATTAACGTTAAGAACTTACTTTCAAAAGAGTCTGCTTCTTTTTGCTTAAGTACTTTAGCTCCGCTTTTTAGTCGACCAGTCGAGGTTTTCCGAGGGTGGTGTCGGCGGCCTTCTATCAGGCACGCTTCGGCGTAGTCTGGGTTGGTTGTTGGTGAATTTTCTCGTTATGCACTTCTTAGTTACAATCTTACAGTCTTTTACCACTTCGTTTTCTTCGGCACCTTAGTATGTGAGAATTTATGGGCATGTATTGGCCTATGATTCTTGCTGATAAAAGTAATTGTCACCTTGGGAATCGTTAGTTCCCAATATAGGTCTTGGTTTCTGCTGGCATGTGTATCCTACCATGGCGTCCGAAATAGAAAAGTTTCGTTTACACCTGTAATTTCGCACGGCTTTCACCTCACAAATGCACTGGCTCGTTTTATTGTCATTTTCTTTGGGTAATATATTAACGTGGGCTCAACGGTTGATTCTTTTATTTTGACTTCGTCAAAATGAGGTCACTGAGTGATATTACTATTTTAGCTTGTGATGGTAATGAAACTTTTACTTGTAATAATGGACGGTGTATTCCACGATCGTGGCGATGTGACGGTGACATAGATTGTAAAGACAAAGAAGATGAGCAGAATTGCACAGGTAATTCGGAGAAGTCTTCGACCAACTTGTAGATATTAGATAGAATGTGAACCATTACTTTTTAGATGTGGACATGATACTCTCATTTTTTTTGTAGTCATCGTGTATTCCTCATATCACCACCATATCACCTTTTTACATGTTATTTCTCCCAAAAAATGCTTTATATCTCACTTTGTGAATTTTCCCTTTTGGAAAGCTATAGTTTAAGTAATCGTTCTTCTCGCTATAAACTGCTGGAATTACCTTAGGTCTTTATCATTCCAAGATTGCGCATTGTTTCAAAACCGGTTTCCCTTCCTCAGTATGGTCGATCAATATGTAATCTTTCCTTGATAGGTAAGCTAACACAAGGTCTATATATAATTTTTATTCGGGTAACGTTTCAACGTCCTCGACTTCATCACAGCCGTTGATCCGAATTGTTCATCTACAGTTGTTCGTCTTCTTCTGTTCAGATCATCGGCTCTAGTGAAAACTAGCACGTCAGAACATTAAGCGGAAAAAATTATGCGTCACCCTTGTCAAAGAAAGATTACATCGTATTATTGTTTTAAATAGCAAAGATTCCGAAACATTGTTGTTTTCAATAGTGATAGTCGGGAATTCCTTGCACGCATGATGCCTGAAAGGCCCATACATACGAACACTGCGGCATGCAGCACGATTTCCATATGACTACTGTTTTGTTGGCTCAGCATCTTTTTATTTTTGGGAGACTCTAGATAACCGTACCAGTGCGTCACCAGTCACCGTAAGCATGCGCGGTTTCTTGTGGGTGGAAAAGATGGGGAAGGGGTTGACGCCTTGTGGCTACCTGTCCGCCACGGTCATGGTGGAATCCGGAGTAGTGCGCTGTTTGATGGGATTTGAGGGTGGAAATATGGAATTTCTTGTAAATATCTGTTTTGGCGACCAGGAAATAAATCTATTGAAGTGGAGTTGAGAGTTAGGAAAAAAGGAGTGAGCTAATAAAAAAAATTGGAGCATAATAGCTATTGATGAAAAACAAGCAACGTCCTTGATTTGAGTTATCCATAATTTTTCGAGGAATGCTGAGAAATTGAGAAGAGAAGAGGAAGAAGAAGAGAGAATTTATTACACATTTATTTGTACTCGTTTACATCAACAGGTCGTAGCGTGGTCGACTCAGTTTTCGTTCGTGGGTATCGTTTGTTAGTCATGTTAGTGAGCAATGAGTAGTCGATTGCGTCAACCATTTGTGAAATGAGGCATCCACCTGTTGCGAGCAAACAGCGTGATTCACCGGCAATAGTATTTAATGGAAAGTGTACCACATCACATATGCGTGTGTTATGTTGAAGAATTCGTTCACAGCTAATTGAATGAGTACATACTAAAACGTCGTGAGGAGCGATTGCCATGTCTTATTGTATTTGCTTAAGTAGATGGACAAATCCAGTGTGGTCCGGAAGAATTTCATTGTGCAAAAGATCAACCTGTTCCGGCGTTTAAAACAGCTCATCAGACTTGTATACCGTCGCGATGGGTGTGTGACGGTGAATTCGACTGCGAAGATAGGAGCGACGAACGAGACTGTCCAGGTTGGTTAGGATTCATTAGACAATGCAGCCCTTATTTTTACCTTTGTTTCTTTTTTGTTTTGTTTTTTGACAACACGACACTGCTATTCGTATTGGTTCATGTCACCGGTAACAATGATTTAGTGTTGAAAGAGATAAACTGCGATTGAGTAACCTTATCTTGGTCAATTCAGGGCAGTGTACAGAGTGTATTTTGACCGTGTCAGTGAAAGTAAAGACCTGAACGAGAAAAAAAGACAGAACGGACCTGCTTCGTAGGAAAACAGTGAAGAACGGAAAAATTTAAGTGTTTGGGGCATAGATTTAATGGAAATGGCTCGTAGGATTATAAAATGAAGTATCATAATTTGTTACAATATGAGAGCTTGTCTTGAAATAAGAACATGAGTCGTGGATTGCTAGGTAAACAACCAACAACCAATCAACGTCAGGAACATTTTGCTGATCCTTGTTTGCACAGAGCTCATGCTCCAGGTGTATTTCCACCTGATTGCTATCTTGCTCGTTGTTCAAGTTTTCTGTAGAGCACCAAGATAGCCTCATCACTGTTTTCGAAGATCGTCACCGCGGTGAGTCTTGAATCATAGCAAGTAGGATGAGGTTTTTTGGCGTTACGTAGTAGTAGCTTGAAGACATGTAGTGTAGCGCAGTGGTTAGAAGCGCTGTGCGGTACACATGGGCTCGATCCCGAGCCCTAGGCTCACTAAGCTTTTCATCCTTCCGGAGTCGGTAAATTGGTACAAGACTTAGACTCGACACATCGATAGAGCACCACTAGTCATTGTATAGGCCAAATATGCACTTAATCACTTCTAACGATGCTGAATGAAGTCGGATGCATGGCGCATCCCTCAAGGATTTATCGACGCCAAGAGCTTTATCCTTTTTTTTATTTACCCTGAAGAAGGTGGTAAAAAGAAAGAACGAAGGAAGGAAGGAAGAAGCGAAGTAAAAGTAGTTCAGTGATATGAGTGCACACATACGAAAACCTTGTTTCCAATGCAAAAACATTGAACTTTTCTGTGCTATGTATTTTTTCAGGAGAAACAAGGAAGTGTTATATTTATGGGAACATTGGGAAATGGTAGGTAACTAAATTAGGAATTATTCAGTACGCATTTGGAAGTCGATCGGCAAAAAAGATAGGATGTTTGTTGCACCGTTAATCACCATAGTTCGCTACTCGTTCGTATAGTCGATTATTAAACTTTGAAACTTATGCATTTTATTTCGTTATTCCACTTTAGAGTTAGTAGCGGTTAACAACGTGTTACGGTACGTAAAGTCTTTTTCTCATCAGTACTTGCTTGAGTATCCATTTAGCGAATAAGAAAGCCGTCATAGGCATAAATATGTCACTTCAGTCACTTTCGGTTCTTTATCAAGTGCACCCCATTTTCCTGTCCTTAACGTTGTACATACTCTTTCTCTTTAATTATGATGTTCTCAGGTGACGTAAGGGTTGGTAAGGTGAATGTTAGAGCAATTTGTACAGATTATGCTTTATGAATGTCCGTAATGCCATAGATAAAGATGTTTTGATCGCAACCATCGCGCCTCTTGAAGCTGTTGCTGCACAGGCACCAGCATTCATTACTTAGGTCGCATTAGTGTACTGTTTATAAGTTCGCCGATGAAGTGAGTGTGTTCCTTAGAAACATGTGTAGACACCCTCAGGGATATCAGTCCGTAATGTCGTTTTGCTTCAATCGATTGCGGTACATTAGCATGCCCGTTTGGTGCTCTAAACAAGCACCTTCAGTATTCGGACGCGGAAGAAGAAGAGACTGTTGCTACTTTATTTCGACAGGAACTTTGGTAAACATGGTAACGATAAGGATCACTGTCGTTTGTTTAGCAAACCACAATGTAGGACATTGTTTATATAATCTGGTTGGAAAGTTAGACTTCGTCACTTCGCTGGACATTGAGCTGTGAATGCACAGTTGGTGAAATAATGTAAACTATTTCGAGAATGAGTAACAAATGAAATGAGCGAGTTGAAAAATTTTTCTGAACAATTTGGGAAATAACGTACGGGAAATTACGTGTGAGAATAGCGAATTGAAGTAACCGAAGGTGTATGGTGATCCCCACAACCCACTTAACCTGTCTTGTTTTGCAGATGTGCATTGTACAGAGAATCAATTCACATGTTCGGAGTTTGATGGTAAATTTAAACTGTGCATACCAAAGTCGTGGCAGTGTGATGGGCAGGTCTGTCCTTAACTTAATTGACATCCGTTGGGTGTAGTGTTAAAATACTTTCGTTAGATTTTAGAACAACTTGTTGCAGATGGATTGCGCCTCTGGCGCTGACGAAGAAAATTGCGCAAAGCGAAAATGCGAGGACAACGATTTCCAGTAGAGTTTTAATACTGAAATTTTATGAAAGCATGATGTTACTGACTTTAAAAAATATGTGAAAATATCTCCTTGAAACTGTGAAACTATTCAATTAGGTGCTGAATATTTACCGCAGTTTTATTGATATACCATTTTGGCTTGAGATTAGACTATCCTTAACCATGTCGTTTCGATACAACAATGCAAAAATTGTTTTTCAGTAACCAATCTGGGAAGGCATTTCCGTAAAAGGTTTTCAAACAGTTCTCTTAGGTTTTCATGGTTACATAGGATGTCTTTATTGTAGATGTGCAAATGGAATTTGCATATTCAAAAATTGGGAGTGCGATGGTGAGGATGACTGTGGAGATCGATCTGATGAAAGTAATTGTACTTCGACACCTCAGCAAATATGTGATTTCAAACATATGTTCAAAGTAAGGATAGTTTGCTTCTTTTGGTTTCAAACCAACTTCCCACTGTGAGATTTATACAAAATTCTTCCCGTATACATGAAGAGAATACATTATATATTTCATATGTGGTAGTGTATGAAGTACTTTAGGAATCAGGTGCTAAAGGGGAAAGTAAGTGGGCCCCATCCTCTGACTCCAAAAGAGCCCTCGATATGGCAGTGCTGTGTAGCATGACGTAGAGGGCGCTAAAATGTCGGAGTTGTTCTACGCAGTCTAGGTTTGGGATTAATGTGACGATCTGTTCCTACAGTGCACAGTCACTTAAACCTGAGTCATCGGACTGTCTGAAGGGAGGAGATGCCGCTCAATCAACGCCGTCTGCATTATTGGACAAGAAGTGTTTCTCGAAGGATTTGATAATAGCGGAGTCGTCGGCGTCGGAATACTCGTCAACACGAGTTTGGCCATGAACGTCGATTCATTCGAATGGCTTACAACCCGAATCGGACGTTTACGATTAAAAAGGCGTGGATCAATACCGGTTTTGACAATCTTCATCGTCTACGCACCGGCATCAAGGCATTACGGAGAAGAAATCGAGGCGTTCTATATGGACTTGAACATTTTCTACAGAGAAAACCATGCATTTTTCAAGGTCATCATTGGAGATTTCAACGCAAAGATTGGACCAAGAAGAACGGCTGAAGAACTTCACATTGGGATCTACGGATTAGAATGGAACGAGTAGGGTGAGTGGCTGTCAAACTCTATCATGACGACCAAAACCATCCATGGTAATTCGCAATTCCAGAAGCCCCATTCTCAACGCTGGACGTGGGAGTCTGCTGGTGGAGAGTCCCAGAACGATGTAGTCCAAGTAAATCGAAGGTTTTGCCTGAACCGCTATCGCTATTCCAAAATACTACAGATGATGAGACCATCGTTTCTTTCATGCAAAATTTCAATTCTCGCAGAAAGGAGAGAAAGCGGCGAGGTTGAAAAAACGAAGTCCCAAAACCACCATAACGTGGGATTTATTTAGTTCACTAGTCGGCTGCTGTGAAGATGCCGTCATTGGTAAAATCGGTGAATAATACGTCCGACTTATTCAACAAATTCAACATCTTCACGTCAGCGCTTCGAAAGCTGAGAGTTGGGAATTTGGCAAAGGATGTCTTTCCGGAAACATTCGAGCTGATATGACAGCGTGTATGACAAAATGGAATCGCCCGAGGTACAGACAACCGCTCAGTCACGTCTGAGCTTCCAAAGCACTTTGGGAAGGCGATAGATGGTGTTAACGGGAAAAGAACAGTAGCTGCGGTCGAAGCTGGGAAAAGCACTTACTAAGCGCACCGAAACTTCGCCACCTATAAGACCAAGATTGGTGCACTCCGATTTTTACACGAACATTCACAGTTTCTAGAAAAACAATGGGGAAATCAATTTATGATTGCTCCTCGGTTCTCCTCAATAGGCACTTCTTGCCCGTATATGAAATAGTGAAGGTGAATATATCGTTGCACCGATTCTCCAATATAGAAACCGTCATTTTCTCTGGTTTTTGAAAAATTGTAGTACACCTAGTTTAGAAAAGGAGAATTCTGATCACCTGAAAAACCTTCTGCCAGTTTTCCTAAACACACTGGCTCAGCTCTTCACATGCTACCTATTAAAATGCAAAATTCTTAGTGGAAGGCCACCAAGGCTGTACTATTGTTCATTAGGGGTGACCGACGCGATATCGGCAACTATCGCACAATCTCCTTAGTCTGTCGTCTACAAACTGTTCACGAGAGTCGTCCTAAACAAGATTGAGGGAACACTGGGCAAGGAACAACCATGAGAGCAAGCGGAGCTCTGAGAAGGATTTGGGACGACGGGTCACATCTACACGATGACAATACTGGTCGAAGTATCGTGAGAGTACCAGAGGTCACTCTATATCACCTTCGTCTGTTTAAAGAAAAGCTTTCGACTCAGTTTAGAAGAAGCATTCATAGAAGGTCGAAGTCAGTTCATCCCTGCTCGGAACATAAAGGTTTTTCGTGACCCATATAAGATTTCCACACTAAAATAGCACCACTCTATAACGATAGTAACAGCGCCGTAAAATGGGAACCTAAGCAAGGCGATACCATCTCGCTAAAATTATTTACCGCCACCTTCGAGAACGTCATGCGAATATTCGAATGGGATACTATGGGAGTGAATGTCGACGGTCGGCAGTTACACTATCTTCGCTTCGCTGATAACGTTGTCCTTATGACAACAAACATTAGCCAAGCGGAACGAATGTTTGCCGACTTTGATAAAGCCCTTGGAAAGAACGGTCATCGACTAAACTTCACTACAATGATCTTCATGGAGAAGTGTTTGGTTTTATATGCTCCATTAACGCTCAACGGAAGGAATATCTCCGAATAGTTTTGCTACGTCTGTCTAGGTCGTGAAGTCAACATGATGGACGATTTAGCTCCAAAGTTGAGTAGAAGGAAGCGAGGATCTTGGAGAGCTCTCAGGAACATCGAGGTTATAGTGAGTGAGGAGGACAATGTCCACTGGGCTACGGCTATATCATCTTTTATACGACATCATTCTTCCAGCGTTAACGTGTGCGTCAGAAGCCTAGTCGTAATGTAAGCAGGATGAAAGACTCAGCGTTGTAGAACGCACAGTCTAAAGGATGATGCTATGAGTATCCCGTAACACGTAAGTTAGGAAGAAGATCTGAATTGTAGACTACGTTGATGGTCAAAAGTAGACTACGTCACTCTGCACACCAAATTTTCGAGGATAAGGAGGGCTGGACAAGTAATGCATATGAGCGATAACCGCCGAACAATAGTCGTTAGCGAAATCATCTATCAAATGCTCAGAGTCGTTTACGAAACCATAAAAAGATATGATACCCAGCGAGTCCATTGAAGTGCAGAACCCACTGTGTCATGGAGAATGGAAGGTTTACTAGCGCTTGTTCGGGTCTCTAGACAGTCAACGAGACGAGAGTTTCGTACATAGCGAGGTCCGTTTTGTATAATATGTCATAAAAATGAAAAGATCGCGGTGTAATCTTCATAGTTGTGCGGCGTCGTAACTTGTTTAGGGGTCATGCGATGTGAAAATAATTGTCGCTTTCAGTTTTACTTCATCATATTTCTGTTCATAGTAAAGTTCATGAATACTTCCTTGATACTTGAACGTCTCGTCCTCACTAGTTGTGCGGGCCTTAGCATAATCACTATTTTTCGGAGATTTGCTGGTTAAGTCATTGTGGTTAGCTGGGATCCTTGGGACAGCCTGGCCAAAGTCTGCCCCAGGTCGTCACCACAACAGGCATTCGCAGTCCTTGTGGACCAAGTGAATTTGCCACCATGCGACCTTAATACCAGGACGGTGGTGGTTCCTGCTATTGGTTTACTCTTAGCTAGGCTTCCTGATGGAAACTCCAGACTCCTTCTCAGCTTGGAAGACCCTGCAGGGGGACGAATCTCCTCCCGTTGCACATCGCAGTCCGACACCCAGGAACACCTTCCAGCCACGATGAGGCGGTAAACCGTTGGCAGGTGAGGAAGTTCATGAATGGCAGTAAAGTCTACTGGAATCTACATTCCTGTTTTGTCATGATGAAATTATGATTTCCTTGTTCCCAGCAAAGGAGTTTTTCTTGTTTTCCTTGTCAAGGCCTCTATATTCAGTTCAAATGAAATTGTGCAAGTGGAATTTCGTTGAGCAGGGCAAGATTTGTAACACAGCTTGGTTTTTGTGGCCACCGCACTTGCGTTGGATTTTTAAAAACTTGTTTCGTTCTCATTTTTTTTTTTGAGTTTTTTTATTGTGAACGTAGAGACAGGCGAAACGAAGGACCCGCATGGTGTGGTGATGAACGCGTTACTCCCCGGAAAGGACAATAGCGCGTTCGTTCTCCACCATAGACACCTGCGGTCCAGAGTTTTGCAAATATCTCAGCAACGTTGTGGTTGTATTTCGCTTAGTACACTGCCGCGAAGTTATAGTAAGCAGAAAATAAAAAGGTATAACATTGTGAACATATTTGAAATTAGAAAAACGTTTTGTAAAAATTATTTTAGGGTGATAGAGCAACGTCGACTCCATAAGCCTTAAAGTTCTCAATTCTGATACTTTTTTAGCGGAAAAATTACCCGTTTATTTTCGAAGAACTCAGTGTCGCCCCACAAGGATTTGTATGAAGAAGCGAACCTCTTTCCCTTAATATCCTGTTTTGTCACTCCACCATTCAGTTTTATAGCGAGCGAGTCGTAGAAAAACACCGAACCCAGTGCACAGTTATTGACCCTATTAAGGAATCGTTTCCGTATTATCAACAAATTTTACTAGTGTTAGTGCTTTTGCTTACGTCGTTCATAGATGGAAGTTAAGAAGAAATACAACATGATTACCCCTCACAGTACAAAGTTTAGTCGTTTGACCATTTGTATTATAGTAAGCATGATCATGTTTCCATTCAGACGTCGTGCTTTGATAGTAGTTTCTCCATCACTATTTGTGAAATTTTTACTTTTTTTCTGAGGTAACGACAAGTTGATTGCAATTGAGTGGAGGTTTGACGTAAGTAGAAGTTTTGGTCTTCAGTTATCGAAGTGATGCATTTTTCTGAATCTTTAATCTTTTCTTTAAAGTGATATATTCTTAACAAACTCCGTATGGTGAAATACTAATGGTCGTTGAAACTAATCCATTACAAAGGTATTTGAGCGTGTCGTTTCAAAAAGTTATTGAGATCCATTGTGAAGTTTTTAGTGCGTCAGCAGTGATGGCTGTATATCAAAGGATTGGGTATGCGATGGCGAGGCGGACTGTTTAGACCACTCAGACGAACGGAACTGTAGTGATACACCACATGAGTGTGCTCATCCGGAAACAGTACGAACTATTTAAACCATTATCTTAATTTTTTTTTGGTTTTTTAAACGTTTAGTGAGGGTCTCATCGTACATATTGCAGGAATTTGCATGTGCATCTGGACGATATTGCATAAATAAAATGTGGTACTGTGACGGAGAAGAGGATTGCCCAGATGGAAGTGATGAAAGAAATTGTGCTTCTTCTCGAGAATGTGTAAAAGGCGAGCGGAGTTGTCCGGGCAGCAACCTTTGTATCTCTGATAGTCAATGGTTGGTGTTTATGTGACTGCGATACTTGTACTAGATTTGAGGAAGTGTTCTCCTATATTCTTAAGTCAGATTCAGAGCTAGTTGCAAAACCCTATATGTGGTTTAATTTTTTTAGATGGAAGAGATTTGTGTTGTTTGCATAAATGCGTTGTTAAAAATAAGTGGTTAATTTTTGGTCCCTATTTGTTTAACCGACCTGTTTGCCGCCTCATTGTGGCTGGGAGGTGTACTTGGGTCTCGGGCAGCGATATGCAGTGGCATCTCCCTGTAGGGCCTCCCAAACTGAGGTATCCGGCGTTTCCATCAGGAAGCCCAGCTAAGAATAAAGCATTACCAGGAACCACAACCGTCTTGGTATCAAACTCTGCATGTGGTGATGACGGTCTGGGGTAGATTTCGACTACGCTGACCTGCGGACTCCATGGAGCCCCAGTGACTAAAATAAAACTCCGAAAGCGTGGAAATTATGCTGGAACCAGCACAAACAGTTATCCAATTTATGCTGTCTGGGCTAGTGAATGGACTGAAGTTTGATGCGCTGTTTGTTTGATGTTTTTTTTTCACTTAGACCTTTTAAGGTGCAACGGGGTGGAGGATTGCCCTGACGGATCCGATGAGTTGCACTGTGATAAAAATAGCACAGGTAGTCTTTTGCTTACCTTTTTTCTTATATTTTATTGCCATATGATGCATCGCTAGAGTTTCCACGTTGTAGGTACAGTGAGGATGATTCTGCAGTCATTAAAATCGAAATACTGCTATTTGTAATTTCAAGGGAGGCTTTGGTTTTGTTGTATGCGTTTGCTGTTTTAAACGATTGACCGAATAGTTGTCTAGAGGCGTGAGGGAAACTCAAATGTGATTTGTTAAAGAGAACAATAATATGCAGAAATTGCACTTCTTAAATTTCAGAAGGATTAAATAGCTATGGCAATGAAATTCCTCTCCTTTAATTCACCTCTTCTAATGACGATTACTAGTTGTACAGTTAGGATTGGAAAAAGCTGTTCCAAGCTTTTTTCTGTAGTTTTTAGTCGAGTCGGTGTTAAATCAGTCCCGATATTCTTATAGTTGAAACGTGCGACTCGAATACACAATACACGTGTCCGACAAATCCACCAATTTGTGTGAAGTATGTCGATCTCTGTGTTAAACAAGGCCACAATGATTGCGGTGATGATATCACGTGTACGAAAAACATATGTGAGGAAATATCTTTTGTGCTAGATTGCTAGGTTGTCTTTACGCCTTTATATCTTATATCTTTTTTTGAGCCCATTATTTCAGCTGTATGTGCTGAGAAGAGCGACTATTGTGATTGCCACAACTCATTTGTTAAGAATGCACATGTTTGTCATTGTCGCGTTGGCTTCATAGGAGTTAATGGAAGATGTGAAGGTTTGTTGTAGTATCTATAAGATAGGCGCGTGTGGAAGAGTGGTCGGAGGCGCACTGCAATACACACATGGGATCGGTCCCGCACATGTGGCTCACCAAGCCCTCTATCTCTCAGGGGTCGGCAAGTTGGTGCCAGACTTGTCTGGGAGGATAGCAGCACTGGCTCGATGCATCGGTAGGCCACCGCGAGTCATTCTAAAGGCCAGATATGCATTCAGTCACGTTCAACGATGCTTTATGAAGTCGAACGCATGGCGCATCCTCAGGGATTGATCTACGACGAGAGCTTTGTCCTTTTTATCCTTTATCTATGAGATGGCGAAGTTGTAAGTCATGGATTTTTCTTGTCATTTTTATTAACCTTTTGTTACAGACATTAATGAGTGTAAAATACCGGGAACATGCGACCAGATTTGTGAGAACACCCTGGGTAGTTATGTATGCCGATGTCACCATGGGTATAAATTAAGTCGAAGTTCTGATTCGACTGTTCCAAACAGATGTAGGGCACTTGGAGGAGATCCACTTTTATTGCTGAGCAATAGGTAACAATCTTTCCTTACTTGGTTATCGAAATACTTTTATGACATTTTATGACAACTAAATCGGTTATATTTTTTCCAGGGCAACGATTAGACAGTTTGATCTTGTTACTAATGTGCATGTTCCACTAATCCAAAGTCCCGGATCCGCCGTTGCTATGGATTTCCATCTTCGAAATGGGGTACTTGCTATTTGTAGTAGGAAAACCCCTCAAAAGTATTCCTTATTTGTGTAGAACAGTCAATATTATTATCTTATCAGTCCATGGAAGCATTTATTAATGAGGGTGGATTGAGATGTAACATGAACTGTTTATGTTTATTGATCAATTGTTTAGACATTGGTGTGGTCGGATATTGCTCTTCAGAAAATCCTAATGTGTAAAATTGGAAACGACTCTGTTCATCATCACTTAGCAGTTAGAGAGAAGGTGCGCTCTAACACTATATGCACACAGCTTTTACAATTTTCTATTTTTTAGTGTGCTGAGGGTGAACAGCACGTACTTCTTGAGTCAAACGTGCACACTCCTGATGGGTTGGCTGTTGACTGGGTTCACAACCTTCTCTTCTGGACTGATGGAGGTCTTGATCAGGTACTCAATGAAACTTATGTTTGAATACGAACGTACTAGTCTATGGTTAGCTCTGATTACTACGTAGGTAAATGTGATGGATTTGGAAACACGGCGTACACGCACGTTATTTTCTGATGGGCTGGAGGAGCCGCGAGCCATAGCAGTAGATCCTGAGATGGGTCTTATTTTCTGGACCGATTGGGGCAAGGAGGCTCGTATAGAGCGTGCTGGGATGGATGGACAACACAGAACGGTGTTTTTTATAGCTTTTCATTTTGGCTTTCATTCAGTTCAGTTTTTACTAATTTGTTGTGAGAGTGGTATGTATGGTTCAGTAAAGTGTTTTTCGCTGCTTTTTTGAGTGAGCAAGATTAACATCCAGTGCGGTGCAAGTCCTAAGTGACTCATAAATGGTCGAAAATAATTTAAACGTCCGTCATGCACATATACTTATGCTCATGAGTAACTTTATCATTTGTAATAAAGTTTCTAAAATCGGTACATGATTCTCGATAAAGTGGAGCCTTTGTTCTTTCGTAGTGGAATTCTGATTTCATGGGTGCCAAAGGTTTTTTTATTTCTTTGCCAGGATTGTTTTTGGGCAGAAATATAATTGAATAAATGAGGTTTGGTCGAGTATCACGCTGTAATACTGTTTGCCGAGGTTTTTTATGGCTGCTGGGCATGTATAAGAAATTTTGAAAATTTATTGCGTTTTGGTTTAAGAAGAATTATACATACGTAGAGACTTTTATGCATGTGTGTTTATATGCTTTTTTTTACTAGGTGTGTATGTAAATTTATATGCATACATATACATTGTACATTTACATATACGCCTAGCAGTTTTGGGATACATGCGCTTTACTATGCGATATTGGTCCATTTTTACAAAGTAACAGAATAGAGACAAAGTTATATGAACTCATGTATAGTGTATATCGTAAGCTTAGGTCTTGTTTTGTAAATCCAAGACAATTTTGAAGAGTGGTGATAAGGTGAGTAAAAACTAAGCTAATACCTCCATAAAATTCTCTTATATTCATGTTCCTGAATTTCAATAGTAATCACAGATTTGATTTAGGTTATCGTGAAAGGAGAGCGTGTAAAGTGGCCCAATGGTCTTGCTCTTGACTACATTGATAAACGTGTGTATTGGGCGGATGCGAAGATTAAGTCAATCTTCTCATGTGACTACTGGGGACGAGATATTAAAGTGGGTCTAATGGTGTTATTCATTTCTTTTTTACGTTGAAACATCCTCCATGTTTTTATTATTAAGTATAAGCCTTTGGGAAGCTAACACGAGGTTGATAAAAGTGTCTATTCGGCTAACGTTTTGATGTCTTCGTCTTCATCAGAGCCGGTAACGGACAATTATTATCAGCGGATAGTCATCAACAACAACCGTCCTGGTAGAAGAGCGCTGCCTGGTGAGGTTGGCTCATTCGAGCGATGATCCACTGAAGAAGATCTGACTCGTTACAACGACGAAGACGCTACATTGAGAAGACGAATAGTGATGGACTATCGACAAGGATCATCGGCTCTGAAGTAAAAGACGTCGGAACTTTGGCCAAATAAGCCCCTTTATCAGCCTCATGTTAGCTTAATAATCCAAATAGGTGTTGATTATCACTGCCGAGGTTAAACGTTGGTCGGTTTGAGAAATCGGTTTGTGGTGTTTCTACATAATTACCGCGCCGTGTGTGTACATTATCCACATTTGTATGTGGTAGTGTCGTTAAATATAACGTAGCTTCCACAACATTCAGTCAGAAGTTATGCAGATGGTAGTCTCAATACCAAACTCGATCATGTAAAACGTATACGTCCGGAGGTTTTCTAGATGAAAATTCTCAAACTGTCATTACAGGTCGTTCTACACTCACATCAGTATCTCCGGCACCCATTTTCAATTGCTGTGTTTGAGGATCGCATTTATTACACTGACTGGGAACATGATGGAGTAATTACCATCAACAAAGTTTGTTGCTTTTCCAGTGCATTTTGAAAATTGTTGTATGGTACATGCATTGTCTTTACAGTTCACCGGAGGTGAAATGCGTACAGTAATGCAGAAAGTTTCGACTCCAATGACGGTTAGGATTTACCACAAACTCGCTCAACCAAAACTTCCGAACAAGGTTCTTGGTGGACTTAGAATACTTTCGCTTGTTCATTTTTCGTCATATCTGCCGTTATCGTTTTTTGCAGTGTGATAATTCCGGTTGCAATGAAATGTGTCTACCGCGAGCAGTCTATCGTAAGACCGAACCTGCTCTTGAAACAGATTGGCATGATCGACCGTATGCGTGTATGTGTCAGGGAAATACCCCTGCTGACCTCATTGAATGCGCAGGTAAAATATTTGTTGTAATTTCCTAGATATAGTAGAATACAGAGTGCAAAACTTTAAACGACATATAGTACTCTTTTTTTAGTTGATATCGCAACTGGTGGCTCTGCGAGAGGATTTTCTTTCTCTAACATATTTTTCTTCTTCATGTTGACAGTCTTCGGCGTCGTGGTATAAATTGAAATCCAATTTTTTTGTGTGTTTGTTTAGAAATAACCATCGATGACCACATTGAAATGGACCTGTTTGTTATAATTGTCCTCATTATTGTTGTTAGCTTTTTAAGGGTTTGGTGTACTACCGTAAACGTCATTATAACGGCTCCTTCACTGCTCTGAACTTCGACAATCCCATCTATCGGCGGACGACGGAGCCTGATATGGACGATCCTTTCCGTGATCCTTTTACGTATGACTGAAGTTTTTCTTCTCCTTTTAAACCAGCTCGTATATGCAATCATATTCCTTTAATGGTTTAATTCAGTGATAACAGTGGGGTGCAAATAGGACCTGGAAATGCTCGTCTAGTATTGGCCAACCCAGAGGACAATGTCCATAACTCAGCAGTAAGTCCTTTTGTTTTATTTTTTACGACTGTTCAATAGTTTCTTTTACCATAAGTCGTGGAAACCGTTCATCTTGCAGATAGAACCTATGGACCGTCCTTTGAATGCATGAAATTTTTCCGTTCAGGAAGGAACGACTGCTTTTATTTCTCTACATTGTATTCCTTTTATGATTGCTAGCTAATGTATCCAAGATTGTTTCGTGATAGTTTTTCTCAAGAATGGTTTGTTTTCTCTGTTTTATCATTTCCTCAAGGTACGGTTATGTGAAGAACCACGATAGGCTTATGTGTTTTCTACGGTCGCTTTGGAAGTCGCTAGAGCTTTGGTGAGCGGGGATACTTGCTTTGTGTGCGTTCCCCAATTTATAATTGTTCGTTTGTAAAGTGTACATTGTAATTCCTCTTCTGTTCTGCTCTGTGATAGTTTCCTGTGGTTTTTGCAAACTCTTCAACGGGATGGCCAACTTCGTCGTCATCACGTACGAAGCGGGTGTTCACTGTGTGGAAAATTTGTACCCGTTTAACATCGTTCATCATAGCCTTTAACAATGGATTCGTCTCAAAGCGTTTGATCCTTTATTAATCATACAGAAATATATTCTAGTGTTCACGATTTGTGTGTCGTGTCCACCAGTAATTGTTTTCCTTTCTCATCTTCCGCTACTAACTTTTATATCTCTGTCCATATTCAGGTGTCCGACTTATTTGTACGAACTCGTTTTCTTGTGAAGTTAACAAGCTCGCTTGACGTTCTTGGATAAGTCCACGATATTGGCATCTGTAGTTGCTATAATCGTCTCTAGTTGTATGGTGTTTATTTGCTCATCAGAAGTGCATGTTCCATGTAGTAGCCGTGTACAGTTGATACTGTAATAAAACTCACATTTGCAATTTGAGGCTACCACAGCCGTTTTGTTAGGGTTAGAGTACAGAATGGATTTGGCATTGATGCAGTGCAATGAGCAATCACAGGTAGGCAGTAGAGCACCTCTCCTGCCGTGCCGATTTCAAAAACTTAAAGAATATATGAATTCCAACCACAATGATGCTGGGATATTCGCAGAACTCAAGAGGGCGAGGGCGAAACGAATGACACATGCTGTGGTAGTGGACGCCTCAGCCTTCGGAAATGGCAGTAGCGCGTTCGTTCCGGACCGCAGACACCTGCGGACCGGAGTTTTGCAAATGTTTCAGCATCATTGTGATTGTGATTATATTTTACATAATACCTTGCCGTTAAAAAGGAACTAGCAATAAGTGAAGAAGTACCATTGTGACAGAGAATATGTTCAACACAGATAGTCACACCAGTAGTAGTGAAATGGTCTTTGTGGTTCAGTTGTGTGCTGGTCGAAACACTATTTAACTAAAGATTTTGTTTGTGAACTAAGAAGATAACAGTATGGGGAAAGCCTTTATGTTAGTTTTTATCTCTTTTATTCCAATTTCCAGTATGCTCTTGCGTGATGGTCCACAACTGTTTGTGAAGAGATGTTCTATTTTCAGAAAGCATACGATCACTTGTGAAAGGTTATGAATAGTTAACATTCTGCGACTTATATCTTGATGGTGTTTCTATAGTGCTAATGGGTTTGCGGAACGGTTTGGCAGAGTTCTGGTTTCGTGGGATCATGTCTATATATATATATATATATATATAT